AAGAATTGGTAAAGTCCACGGTCAAATTCTCTCCATACCTGCAACGGGAAACACATCATTTCTATTTCGTGATGAAAGATGGAAAGCCGTTCAAGCAAAAGAACAATATAGTTTTTTGCTTTTTGAAAGAGAAACTGGCTATCTTCCCTTTTCACACGTAGACATTCTCTTCTTGGTGCCATGTAAAAAGATTGAAGCCTTACCTTTGAGAACAGCATGACCCGAGATATACAAATCGGTCCTGGTTGAGGCTCCAACTTGTCAATTTTTGCAAAAATTGCTGGTAAACCAAAGATCACCACGTACTTCATATGGAAGAATACACCTAAATAATAATAAATAGCCAGATTTACTAGTAACAATTTTTCTATTATCTTAACGTGATTGTATCATAATCTTTTATCTTCCACTGTTCTCAGCAGACTTCTTAAATGAAAATTTTTTGTGAGCGTTAAGGTTACTTTGAAGCAAAACTCTTGCGTAGCTCATCCTTTAGTTAGGAGTGGCCCTTTAGAAAAAAGTTTGTCAGCAGTACAAGACAAAGGTTTATTTGATGTAAGATCTTCCAAGCGACAAAATTTTCTTCAGAATATTAATGGAAAGTTGCAATTTTTACTAGCTCTTTTAAGGTCTACCGTATCGCACAACACATAGTATCATTTAATTTCCTTGAAATAAAAAGTAGAACTCACCTAAGGTCAAAGCTAATGAGAACAGCTGATTCTTGGGTAGCGTACTAGCATACTCGACGTGTTTCATTATAGCATCTTGATAGAAAAAGTGCAGTGCCACTTCCAAAAGCGTCCACCAGAATGCGATTCTTATTGCGAAGAAAATACATTCTTTCCAATTCCTCTCTTTTGCCTTTCTGCTCATCATTTGCTCTTCAAAATCTTCGTAAAGAACAATGAGAGAGAATAGATAAGGCTGATAGAAGGTGTAGAACATCATGCGTAAGTACTGCCGTGGCAGCGTGTTGTCCTCTTTACGCCCAGCGCCATTAATTGTATCCATGCAATAGGAAATGTAGCTGAGCATGCTGTACGAGACGAAAGTGTAGATGAGGAAGGG